AGAGTTGCGTATCTTGCAGACATCTTTACAAAACTAAATGAAGTAAATCTGTTGCTGCAAGGAAAGAATGTAAATATTTTTAATGCGAAAGACAAAATTTTGTCATTGTCACGGAAGCTACAGTTTTGGATCTCATCTGTAGGACGAAATGATTTGGATTGTTTACCAACTCTGAATGATTTCCTTGAAGAAAATGGATACAAACTTGATGAAGATATTCGCAGCGACATTGCAGATCATCTCCGCGATTTATACACGAACATCATTAAGTATTTTCCAAACATCAATGACAACAATAACTGGATTAGAAATCCATTAAGTTTAACAGAAAAGCCAGTCCGTTTTTCTACACAAGATTATGAAAACCTAATTGAAATCGCTTCAGATGGCCAATTAATACAAAAATTTAAAGATGTTTCTCTGATTACATTTTGGAGTGACTTATGTCAAAGTCAAGAATATTCATCTTTATCAAGATGCGCAATTCGTCAGCTGTTACCATTTGCCAGTACATACTTGTGCGAAACTGGGTTCTCGAACTATGCAGCAATGAAAACGAAATACAGAAATCGACTGAATGCTGCACCAGATATGCGAATCCAACTTTCTAGTATTAAACCAAATATAAAAAGAATTTGCCAAGAAAAGAAGACAAACCACTCTTCGCATTGAAAACTCCCAGAGAGATTTAATGAACAGAGATAACTAGTGAAAGTGTAACCCACACACTGGTACTACATCTATACTGTAGTCTTCTTTGGAAAAGCATATGCAGATGAAGCACGGCGTGGAATTCGCTGCGCTTCATTTGCATAAGTAATGAGCAGCCGTTTTTGCACAAGAGGCTTTTGCTCAAAAACAAGCCGGGTAGACAGCTTCTTTTTGCTCAATCCCCCCCTTGTGCAAGAGCCATTCTTCCTTGCTCAAGAGGGTTTTTTTGCAGAAACAGGAGCTGTCTACACGGCTCATTTTTGTGCAAAAGCCTCCTGCGCAAAAATGGCTGATCATTACTTACGCAAATGAAGCGTGGCAATATTCCACACCGTGTTTCATTTGCATATGCTTTTCCACAAGAAGGCTATGGTATAGACATAGCCCTGGGCTACGTCTATTTCCAGTTTTGCTGGCAGTGAATATTCAAATGAGGTATGGATCAGCATATTGCTGCACCTAATTTGCATAATTTATGCAAAACATTTTTGCAGGAAAAAAGTAGTGTGGACATTTTCTTTTTGCGCAAAAACCCCTTTTCCCGCCAGATCCTTATGCCCCAAAAAAGGAGATTTACCGATCTGGCGGGAAAGGGGTTTCTGCGCAAAAAGAAAATGTCCACACTACTTTTTTCCTGCAAAAATGTTTTGCATAAATTATGCAAATTAGGTGCAGCAATATGCTGATCCATACCTCATTTGAATATTCACTGCCAGCAAAACTGGAAATAGACGTAGCCCAGGGCTATGTCTATACCATAGCCTTCTTGTGGAAAAGCATATGCAAATGAAACACGGTGTGGAATATTGCCACGCTTCATTTGCGTAAGTAATGATCAGCCATTTTTGCGCAGGAGGCTTTTGCACAAAAATGAGCCGTGTAGACAGCTCCTGTTTCTGCAAAAAAACCCTCTTGAGCAAGGAAGAATGGCTCTTGCACAAGGGGGGGATTGAGCAAAAAGAAGCTGTCTACCCGGCTTGTTTTTGAGCAAAAGCCTCTTGTGCAAAAACGGCTGCTCATTACTTATGCAAATGAAGCGCAGCGAATTCCACGCCGTGCTTCATCTGCATATGCTTTTCCAAAGAAGACTACAGTATAGATGTAGTACCAGTGTGTGGGTTACACTTTCACTAGTTATCTCTGTTCATTAAATCTCTCTGGGGAATTTTGGGGTAAAATGAACTAATGCACACAAAATTGTGAGATTTGAAACAAAGCATTCAGCTGCTTTGCAAATGTGTCACAGGTCTCAAAAGAGAACCAAAGGAAGATCAGACTAATCCAGATTCTACAGCTGTGTAAAATGACCCAGGTTAAAGAAAAACAAAAGTTTTATTTTTTCATAGAAATAATGTATTAAGTTATGAAACTTTGTAGCACTAGTGTCGTATGATTAAGAACATCTAAAAAACAAATCATTCTGTCTACTGCACCAAAGTACTGTATTATCTTCAGGACCCTACCAAATTCACCATCGATTTTGGGTGAATTTCATAGTAATAGGATTTTAAAAAATCCTAAATTTCATGATTTTAGCTATTTAAATCTGAAATTTCATGATGTTGTAATTGCAGGGCTCCTGACCCAAAAAGAAGTTGTGGGATTGAAGGAGGAGTCACAAAGTTACTGGTGTGGAGGGTTATGGGCCTGAACTGTGATAGATTAGCAAAAATAATGCTAGAACTGACTCAATCTCGCTACATTTTAAAATAAACACAACATCTTTGCGTTATATAATGATCTCCCACCAGAAGTTTATTATGCCCCATACTTACGGGGCAATCTAATATAATCACCAAGAACTCTGCTGGTTACAGGAAAGTTAATTTAGTGCCGTGGTGTCCAACCAATCCTAAAAGAGTAGCCACTACCAAATAGCCATATTGTTCAAGCCAACTAGCCACAGTGCTACTGGGGCTCCCCTGCTCTTCCTTCCCTCAGGAGGATCCCATGCCACAGATCAATCCCTCTTCATTGTTGCGCTTGACCGGAAGTGGATGCTGCCCAAGTGCAGGAATGATCCTGTGCCATATGCAGCACAGCTGTGTGTTTCCATGACCCCAGCCTTCAGAGCAGTGGCTTGTCATGGGGAGGTGTCCCACCATGGACTTGAGAATAAGTCAGGCCTCTCCAGGAACCTTGTGAGAAGGATCAAGGGGTTCCTGTCTGAAAGCATCATAGAGCTGAGTTCTCTGAATTGGTGCTCCAAGTGCATAGGCTGTTGTGCTACCCCCAGGCCAAGACGACTGAGTGAGGAGCGCACAGCCCCTTGCAGCCCACCGCCTGCCCCCACGTGTGTATAGGGAAAGTTATGTAACTCACCTGAAATAGCTTCACCGGGATTGTCCAAGGCCTGGGAGACATCCTGGGAGTTTGGGACTGGCTGCAGGGTGAGAAGCAGCTCCTGGCTGGCAGGAATGGTGTCCTGCTCCTCCTCCATCTTGTCTTTCTCCTTCACAACCCCACTCTCGTAGAGGCGGACGCCGGGCACATCCTGGCTTGACTAGATGACTGGCCCCTCTCCCAGGATGGCATCCAGTTGCTTGTAATAGTAGCAGGTGAGAGGAATCTTCCCCAACCAGTGCACTTTGCTCCCCCCAGTCTTGTAGACTTGCCAGAGCTCTTTGATTTTTATATGGACCTGGTCAAGGGTCCACGTGTCCTTTTTCAGCCAGACTAGTGGCTATATAGCCGTAGACATGCTTATTCTTCCTCCTGGTATGGAGATCTTGGAGGTTGGTCTCCTCCCCCCAGACATCAATGAGGTCCAGGATCTCTGCACCAGTCTTGGCCAGGGGCATCTGAGGGTACTGCGGGAGTGCTGGCAGCCATGGGGGGCGTAGAGGGAGTACTGGGGTCACTCATGACTCCAACAATGGGTGCTGTGTGGCACGGAGCTGACTGCTCTCAAAATGCCACAAGCTCTTTCCCTTCTGCCTGCTGCTGTAAGCTC